AAACACACACACACACACACACACACACAAACACACACACACACACACACACACACACACACACACACACACACACTCACAGACACACACACACACACACACACACGCAAACACACACACACACACACACACACACACACACACACACACACACACACACACTCACACACACACACACACACACAACACCACACACACACACACACACAGAAGAAACGATGAACTTTGACAAAAAGCTTTTTATCTGAAATGTTCCGTTGATGATGTGGCACCAACAGCACACGCTGCCCCTCACATCGTCACACACAGCATTAATTAAGGTTTATATTATTCCATCATATTATGAGTTTATTGGTATTATACATGTAGCTGTGCGTTGTGAGCAGCAGAACGCTTGGTTTTATTTCTCTCTAAAAAAGCTTTTTGTACGATTTGTTTCTGAGCATTTAAAATGTTAAGCTTCATATATGTTGACTATTTGATATTTATTTTGTTTTTGTAAACACATTAAAAGATATTCACTGAATACCTGGTCGTGGGATTGCTTGATTTTATGTGGAGAACATATTTAAATGTTCAGTTTGATGACGCAGGTTTCTTAATGACATGGTGTTCAGTTTACAGGCAAGGTTCTGAAAGGAAAGATAGACTAACGCTGTAGAGTTTCATTTATCAGGAAGAGTGTGTGTGTGTGTGTGTGTGTGTGTGTGTGGTGTGTGTGTGTGTGTGTGTGTGTGTGTGTGTGTGTGTGGTGTGTGTGTGTGTGTGGTGTGTGTGTGGTGTGTGTGTGTGTGTGTGGTGTGTGTGTGTGTGTGTGTGTGTAACTACCTACCTCCAGACAGAAACTCTCACATGTTGTTCACGTGTCGGAAAGCTGAGATTATTCCGCGGATAAAAAAGGTCACAGCTGTTTCCGCTGAAATGTAAAAGAAATGTAAAAACTCCAGACGTTCCCCGTGTTGCTCTGCCAGCTCTCAATGTGCTGCACTCTCATCACATGGACCTTCAATCACAGCGTCTCAACACATCTGGAAATGCACCATAGTTCATAATACTATGGAGGCGTGTGGCGCAGTGGGCTAGTGTTTTGGTGTTGGGATCAGGTGGTCACAGGTTCAAACCCCACTGCAGTCAGCATGTCATTGTGTCCCTGAGACACTTCACCCCAAAGTGCTCCTGAGGGGATTGTCCTCAGTATTGAGTATGTAAGTCTCCTTGGATAAAAGCGTCTAACGAGTGACATGTGATGAATGATAAAAGACAAATAAGTCACGTGTGAAGTATCGTGTTTTATTTGCAGACTTTGTCCGTAATTAAAACACGGGGATCCTCTCCTAAACTAAACGTGTTGTTCATGCTTCATCTTGAAAACAAGGTTCATTGATATCGGGTCATAAATCCTGCTGAAGAACAAACAAACAAACAAAGCAACAGACGGAAGAGAAAGCAGACGTGCAGCTCAATCTGTCACCTGGGACTGATTTCTAATATTGAAAATAAATCATATATAAAAGCAACAACCTTGAAAAACATTTTTTTAAAGGCCAGAGACCAGAAATAGATTTGAACCATTCTGACTTTTTTTTAAGTTTTAGAAACATTATGAGTCCTAAACCCTGATATGAGTCAGCATCATGAGTCCTAAAACCCTGATATGAGTCAGCATCATGAGTCCTAAACCCTGATATGAGTCAGCATCATGAGTCCTAAAACCCTGATATGAGTCAGCATCATGAGTCCTAAACCCTGATATGAGTCAGCATCATGATCCTAAACCTGATATGAGTCAGCATCATGTTCCTAAACCCTGATATGAGTCAGCATCATGATCCTAAAACCCTGATATGAGTCAGCATCATGATCCTAAAACCCTGATATGAGTCAGCATCATGATCCTAAACCCTGATATGAGTCAGCATCATGATCCTAAACCTGATATGAGTTAGCATCATGAGTCCTAAACCCTGATATGAGTCAGCATCATGAGTCCTAAACCCTGATATGAGTCAGCATCATGATCCTAAACCCTGATATGAGTCAGCATCATGTTCCTAAACCCTGATATGAGTCAGCATCATGAGTCCTAACCCTGATATGAGTCAGCATCATGAGTCCTAAACCCTGATATGAGTCAGCATCATGATCCTAAACCCTGATATGAGTCAGCATTATGATCCTAAACCCTGATATGAGTCAGCGTTATGATCCTAAACCCTGATATGAGTCAGCATCATGATCCTAAACCCTGATATGAGTCAGCATTATGATCCTAAACCCTGATATGAGTCAGCATCATGATCCTAAACCCCTGATATGAGTCAGCATTATGATCCTAAACCCTGATATGAGTCAGCATCATGATCCTAAACCCTGATATGAGTCAGCATCATGAGTCCTAAACCCTGATATGAGTCAGCATCATGAGTCCTAAACCCTGATAATGAGTCAGCATTATGAGTCCTAAAACCCTGATATGAGTCAGCATCATGAGTCCTAAAACCCTGATATGAGTCAGCATCATGATCCTAAACCCTGATATGAGTCAGCATCATGTTCCTAAACCCTGATATGAGTCAGCATCATGATCCTAAACCCTGATATGAGTCAGCATCATGATCCTAAACCCTGATATGAGTCAGCATTATGATCCTAAACCCTGATATGAGTCAGCATTATGATCCTAAACCCTGATATGAGTCAGCATCATGATCCTAAACCCTGATATGAGTCAGCATTATGATCCTAAACCCTGATATGAGTCAGCATCATGATCCTAAACCCTGATATGAGTCAGCATCATGAGTCCTAAACCCTGATATGAGTCAGCATCATGAGTCCTAAACCCTGATATGAGTCAGCATTATGAGTCCTAAAACCCTGATATGAGTCAGCATCATGAGTCCTAAAACCCTGATATGAGTCAGCATCATGATCCTAAACCCTGATATGAGTCAGCATCATGTTCCTAAACCCTGATATGAGTCAGCATCATGATCCTAAAACCCTGATATGAGTCAGCATCATGATCCTAAACCCTGATATGAGTTAGCATCATGAGTCCTAAACCCTGATATGAGTCAGCATCATGAGTCCTAAACCCTGATATGAGTCAGCATCATGATCCTAACCCTGATATGAGTCAGCATCATGATCCTAAACCCTGATATGAGTCAGCATCATGATCCTAAACCCTGATATGAGTCAGCATCATGAGTCCTAAACCCTGATATGAGTCAGCATCATGAGTCCTAAACCCTGATATGAGTCAGCATCATGATCCTAAACCCTGATATGAGTCAGCATTATGATCCTAAACCCTGATATGAGTCAGCGTTATGATCCTAAACCCTGATATGAGTCAGCATCATGATCCTAAACCCTGATATGAGTCAGCATTATGATCCTACACCCTGATATGAGTCAGCATCATGATCCTAAACCCTGATATGAGTCAGCATTATGATCCTAAACCCTGATATGAGTCAGCATCATGATCCTAAACCCTGATATGAGTCAGCATCATGAGTCCTAAACCCTGATATGAGTCAGCATCATGAGTCCTAAACCCTGATATGAGTCAGCATCATGAGTCCTAAACCCTGATATGAGTCAGCATCATGATCCTAAACCCTAATATGAGTCAGCATTATGATCCTAAACCCTGATATGAGTCAGCATCATGTTCCTAAACCCTGATATGAGTCAGCATCATGATCCTAAACCCTGATATGAGTCAGCATCATGATCCTAAACCCTGATATGAGTCAGCATCATGATCCTAAACCCTTGATATGAGTCAGCATCATGAT